CCGCGACCTCGCGCGCGGCATGCGCGTGCACACGCCGCGTGGGGCCCGGCCGTGGCGGGCGTGCTGCGAACGCGGGTGCGGTGCGCGCCCGTGCGGCGCGTTGGCGGCGTCGTCGTCACGCCCTGGCACCCGGTCAGGAGGAGGACCGCCGGCAGCAATGGCAACGACGACGACGACGACGGGTGGGCGTTCCCGGCCGACATGGCCGGGGCGCGGCCCGCGCTGTACACGGGCTCCGTATTCTCGGTCCTGCTCGAGCCCGACCCCCGCCCGCAGGCCCACGCCTTCCTGGTTGCCGGGCCCGCCACCGACGCGGACTCGCCCCCGGCCGCCCTGTGGGGTGTATGCCTCGGCCACGGCCTGGTGGGTAGGAGGAGCGGCGAGGAAGAGGAGGAGGAGGAGGAGGCGGGTGATGTCCGGAACCACGAGTTCTGGGGCGACCACGCCCGCGTCTCTGCCGAGATGGCGCGCCTCCCGCGGGGCGGCCGCGACGGCGTCGTGCTCTGCGGCGGCGTCAGGCGGTCTAGAGCCACGGGCAGGACGGTTGGGCTTCGGAAGCCCGGGCCGTCGCGCGGCCTGGCGAAGGCCGGGAAGGCGGCGGCTTGGAAGCTGCGAGGACGCTTTGTTAAGGCGGCAAGGTCGTCGAGGAAGGGCCTTGTGTCTGCGGTTTGATGGGTGCTTTCTCGGGATTGGCGTTGGTGATATCATTCCCTGCCTGCGTCATTGGCACCGGAACTTGCATAATGAATGGACTGGGCCCCTTTCTTCCTCTAACCTTCACCTACAGATAGCTACGGGCGCTTTGAGCATTTGGAGGTTGAAAGTTCTGCATGTTGAGTAAGAATTTCTTGTCGAGGGAGCCTGGGTAGGCTCTCAAACAATTAGTTGTTTACTACCACTACTTAAATGCGAATCCACTTCCTCTTCTGCCCCCGGCTGGACTGATTCTCGAGGTCCCGAATTGGCGTGGGCCTTACTATTCTCTGTCAATGTGCCCTATGCCACCCAAAGAGACGAGACATCTCAGGGTGTCTATATGCTAGGCTAACCTATTCACCCAAAATGGTTCTGACCGCTCTGCTCGCCACTAAATGTGCTGGTATGTTTACCCTACCCCGGGCGAGCCCCTGACCCATCCCCCTTCTTGACCGGGGCGGAGCTGGTGGCGGCAAGCAGCGTCACGCCGAGGGTTAGGGAAAGCGGGAACGGCAGCGGGAGTGCCGGGGTCGTGATCATGGCCCCGGAAAGGACTTTGCTGATCTCCCGGGCCTGACGTGCAACTGCCGGCGATGGCTTCTTGTTGGACGGTGAGCTGCCGCCCGTCCCCGCGCCTGGGCCTGGGCCAGGGGTAGTACTGCCGCTTTGTTTGCTTTGACGGGATGTGGGTTGGGGCTGGTCTGGAATGGGCGGTGGCTGTCCACGACGGCCTTGATGTCGCTGCTGTGGCTGCTTCTGCGGCTGCCGATTTGGCTGCTGTGTCTGGTACTGTTGCTGCTGACGTTTTTGAGATGCGTGTAGTTGTGGGTTTGGCTGTTGCTGGGGCTTGTGTTGGTTCTGTGTTTGATGCGGGATCTCTTTCTTCCCTTGTTGAACCGTCTCATCTGTTCCCTGCTGCTGTGGCTCTTTGTGATCACCCTGCGGCGTCGGGTACTTCTTCCTCCGGCGTCTCCGCCGGGGCTGGCCATCGCCTTTTTGCTGCGGCTCGGAAACGCCGGCTGGTGCTGGGGACTCAACATCTCTGGTCATGCGAGACTCGGCATCAAATGCGCCGCCTGTGGACACCTCTGATTGGTGAACAGGATCATTATCCCGGGGCGCCGCTTCGTCGCGCCGCCGCGGCCCTGTGGCCGGAGCTGATGCCATGGATGACCGTAGTCTGGGTGTGGAGCGGTGTCGGCACCCTGGCCCAGGCGGTGCGGGGATAAGAAGCGGGTTAAACCTGCATATACTGCGCGTGTAAGGGTTGCTGTAGCTTTATTGACACCCGTGGGCAAACATATCGCGGTGTCGCTGCTTTGTCGTTGACTTGGATGCTCGACGTTGAAGTCGAGATGGATGCAGCAAGTTGGCGTGGTTCGACAGAGGTGGGGTGGTGGAGCCGCACATTGCTGCAAGTGTTTCACTCAACCAACCAAGATATGAAGAGACGGTAATTGGATACAAGACCTCATCTTTCCTTGGGTATTGACGAGGAAGCGAAGCAAGGCCCCGGAATGGCCGCCTTCCCTACCCTGGACATTCAACGTTGATAGGGATGACAGTCTATGGGTTCACTGCCGCTATCCGTGCATCACACAGCACGCATCTCAGGCGAGGGACGGGAACCCCAGACTAACTGACCAAAACACAGACGAGAGAGCAATGCTATAACTAGCTAACCGCATGCGCGCCATCTTTAGTGGCCGGCGGGGCCGGCGTGTGGGACTCTCGGGCAGTAAACGGCCAAGACGGGTTGCTACCATCACCCCAGATCGCTACGGCCGTCAGAAGCATGCAGCCAGCCACGGGACACCGAGCGCATGCACAGCATGGGTCCGGGCCGCTTGGAGGAGCAGGCAACGACACCCAACCAAAACATGTAGGCGAATTAGCGGCAAAAATGGAGGCCAGATTCCATTTGGAAGGGGCGGATATCGAATGGTGTCGTCTAGAACCTTCTCTTTCTGGCATGTCACCGTGTGTGCATACACACGCACAAATCCCGCGGAATGTGCCCAAGTATTCCCACAATGCAACCGAGGTCACGCGTCTCTGGCTTTCACGAGGCAACACGCTGTGCATCTCAGGATCCAAGACACTTTTGCCTGGAAACCGCGTCATTCGTCTTCTCTTGCTTCTCGGTCTGGGTTGGCGTTGGTTTGAGGTGGGGGTGCAATTGGTCGACAAGCACGCACAAATCTCGCAGACCCCACCAGCACGCTGGGCTGTGGACAAGGGTTCGTCAGCGGCGAAAACCCCGCGTTGCCCGGCTTGCCAGGGGGGCGCGGAGGCCCTGCTCTCATTGGCCTGACTAGCAGACAGGGCTGCAGCTGCCTCCACTAGTGCGGCCTGGACCCATGGGGCTCCTAGGGGTCCCGCGTCATCCCACCTTTGCCCACCACGCACAAAGGCCGCAAACCGGCACAAATGACGCGCGGGGCGGATCCGTGGAGGGAATGGTGGGTTGCCACTTCCCGATTTCCCAGGTGCCTTCCCTCGGTGGACTGCCTCTAGTCGTGTATTTAAGGGACCACCTCTCGCTCCAATCCCGCTGTTCTTCTCTCCTGTTCTCATCATCACACAACCTCCACGAGATCTCAAGACCACTCAAGCCTCCAAGCAACTCAAGCCAACGAACTTCCATTCAAATCCACACCACACCTCCATTCACAATGGCTGGCGACTGCGGCTGCTCCGGCGCTTCCAACTGCAACTGCGGTTCCAACTGTACGTTAGGACACCCTGCTGCCCACCTGCTGCTGCCACATTCCCATCGCCAACCTGCTGACAAAATACCGCCTTCTTCAGGCTCTTGCGCCTCTTGCGGCAAATAAGCCGACCATCTTCTCTTGCCCCGACAATCATCCAACCGTCGCACTCTACTACCACCTGACGCGTGTCCAGCCCAAGACATCTCGCCCACCAACCACCACTGTCTTCGCCAATTCGACAAGTCAGCATAGCCAACATGGAGGGAATCAGGTCATAGCTGGGGCTGTGCCACTGGAGGAACGTCGCTTCTATATTTATTTTTTGCCGGATCGGATAGGGTTAAGGGACACGGAACGACTTGGGGGTATCGGGCGTACCAGAATGGGTTTTATTTTTTTGACGGAACTTGCTTCGTTCATTCGAGGCCTTAGTACGTAGCACCAATCAAACGGTTTCTTTCATCCTCCACTTGCCACTCGATGAATATAGCTTGATGTGACACAGACAACCGTCACACCAGTGACGCACGCATTGGATGTCGACGGGGTCGGTGTGTCCGTATGGCGTTGAGGAGTCAGACCGGCCGTGGGGTTGGCAAGGGAGCGGCATTGGAAAGATATGGTATTCGCAAGAAGGTACGCTTGAAGGACCCTTGGAGCGATCCTCGAAAGTACCTGAGCGAGCTTCGAAAGTATCTGATTCGATACTTCGTTTCGACTCTGCCTACTGCCACCCGCAGCATTCAGAAGCGGCACTTTCGTGCTCTACTTGGGCAAGCGCCAGCTCGCCCCGCGATATCTGAGGCCTTGTGGGCCTCCGGGGTTCAGGCGGCTTCTGGGCGGTGAGTGTTCCCGAGGTGGTGAGGTCGGACGGCGGCGCTGCGCTCCTGATTCTCTTGACCGGCGGCCAAGGGGCATTCTACTGAGCCTCGTGGGTCTGCTGGCCACGGGGCTGGGGCCCGGGCGTCGGGCCTGGTCTGGTGGTGGCCGTCATGCCTTGGCCGCTGCTTCCCGGCCGACTGCGTGGGTGCGGACGGTGGCGGCAGCTCCCTCGGGCGCCCGCGGCAAGCCGGGTTTGTTATCTGGGTCTGCTTGCTTGCCTGCCTAAACCGTCCGTGTCGGCTGCTGGCTCGGCGTGGGCGCGGCTCGCCTCTCGGATCTGCTTTCGGGGTTTTGGCTTTCGGTTCTAAGCGCACGTCGTTGCAAGGTTAGCCCCCCGCCCCCCGCCCCTCGCCAACTGCCTGTCGGCCAAGTGATCGCCAGTCCCCGTACTCGCTCCCAGACGGCATCCCTCTCTTTATGGCGCGGGGGCCTATGCTGTATCGTACCCAAGGTAACGGCGCCTAGGACCCGCCCTTTCCCACCATGATGCGGTCCAAGGCCTAGCCCCTCACGGCCACAAGAGCGTGGCACACTGTCTCTAGCAGTGGGCGGGGTAACCAGGCACGGCCAGTATCGGCCCGTCAGCTGCTGCAAACAGCTCTTTGTACTTGTCCTGGCGATCCTCATCGGCGCAAGGCGGCGGGTTCTCGGGGGGCAGGATGGGGGACGATGGGGCGTCCGCTAGCGTCGCGCTCGGGGAGGGTTGGGCTCTGATTCTTGCCCTGATGGAAAAGTCGGCGATGCCGCGGTGCTCGCGGGAGGGAGAGGGCTCGATCCTCTCCCTTCCAGTTGTGCCGCAGGCGCTCGGCGGGCTCGTGCCAGCAACGACCAACGCTGGGCTTCTGGCTGATGTGGCAGAGGGGGCGAGGGGGGGGCTGCTGAAGGATGTCGCAGAGCTTGTCCGGCATGTTGCTCGCATCGAAGAGGTCCCGGGGGACGCGCAACACTGCTCTTTCCCTAATGGTCATCATCTCACTACCGTCCGTTTTCCTGTTTGCTTCCCGGTACTTTTCTACATGATGGCCCACCGCCGTTTCCCATACCTAGGTTCTTACCTAGTTAAAACCGTCGTCAGGCTCGACATCATGGCTGGCGGGTCGGCGCACACTTGGCTGTGGAAGTCAACGACACGCAGAATACCACCACCGTACGTGCCGAACCCCCGGTGTGCTGCCTCCAAAGCTGAAGCCATGCAGGCCCAGAGTCTTTTGGCGCTGGTCAGGTCGGGGGGGCGACATGGTCTTGCGAACTTGCGGCTCGAGGGTGCCAACGTTAGAGAGCCAGAAGTCCTGGTTTGGTCGTTCCCGTTTGACGTGGTCGTAGTGGCCTGGGCAGATCTCGTCTATCTCCTAAGGCTGTGTGAAAGCCTCTCGGTCTCTGGTATCTCGAGCGACATGGCTCCTAGCGGTAGGAAATGCTTGGGCGGGCGGGCGGCTGGCAGGTTATGCTGGGAAGGGAGAGCGGCAAGGCGAGAGCATGACGGGAGGAGTGTGGGAGCGTAGGAAGCCAAGACGGCAGAGGAAGAAACGCGCCCAGGGTAAGAAAAAAAACGCGCAAGGAGCGCGCAAAGGTTTGACAGTGCCTAAATACCAACACCTCAGACTGTGGTAGGCCCAGGAGCGCTCTATTGAAGTGGTTGTTACTATAACGGCAGGGAATGATGTGATGGGAGATGGACAACCCCTTCAAGGATCAAGCACCCGGTTGTAGGCTCTATCGTGCCGTAAAGGAGAACAGCGTTGCACTTTTTGTAGAGGTGGCCTAGGCGATCTTAATACCCCAATTCGAATCCCGCAATGGAGCAACTCCTACACGCTTGTTTTTTGGTCTTTGTGATTGTTTTTCGCTTCGATTTTAGCGATGAAGCTCAGAGCATTAATATCCTTTTCCTCCCCCCGATGCCTTTGCAAATATCCAACGCGAAACGCAGGCCGCCAACGGCGACGCGCCCGAGCTCAATGTCTTCGTCCGCTTCCCCAAGGAAGCTATCGCATGCCTGCTGCCTCAAGGGCTGTACGGGGACATCTGCACGCCGCCGTTTGGGGGCATAATCTTCCCCGGCAGTGCCGCGCAGTCTTTTCCCCTCGCCGCCCACGCGCCCCTCGCCCCCGCCCGCGAGGGCGGTGGGAATGCCAGGCCACCTGCCGAGGCTCGGCGTGGGCAGCATGAGCGCAGCAGGCCTCCTGGGCGGGAGCACAAGGACCGTGGCCTGCGCCCTGGGCCCGTCTCCGCCGCCGCCGCCGCCGCCGCTGCCCCGCGTGTCCCCGTCGGCTCGGCAGCACGCACAGCCCATGGTCTGCCTGGCCAGGACCTCGTCGAGCGCGCAGCGCACCCGAGGGGCCCCGGCGGCCATCCGCTCGTTTCTTGCGGCGGCCAGCTCCACGGCCCTGGCGGACACGGCCGCCTCCACGCGAGCCAGGAAGGCCCTCGCTACGACTGCTGCTGCTGCTGCTGCTGCTGCTGCCGCCCTGTCGTCCGCGACCGCGGCTGCTTCGGCAACGCCCTGGCTTCCTCTGGAGGCCTCAGCGAGCTCCCAGCGGCTGAGCGCATAGTCGTTACCTTCCCCCTTGCTCTTCTTGTTGCTCTTGCTGCCGGGAGGCTTGTGGCCGGCCAGGAGCTCGGCGACCGTCAGTCGCCGCTTCGCAGCCCTGCGCGGCTGCACACGGACGACGGGCGGCCCGTTCGGGTCTGGCGACGCAGCAGGGTTATTCCCTGGCTGCTCCTCGGGCTGCGCCGCCGCCGCCCCCATTTCCTCGTGCTTTTTGACGGCGGCAGCGGTCGTGTTCTCGGGAAGCCCCAGCTGCCGGTCCACCTCTGCGGCGTACCAACACAGCAGGCGCTTGGCCTTGAAGTCGTCCCAGCAGTAGACGGCTCCGCGCGCCAGGGACGTCGCCTTTGCGGCCCCCTCCGTGTCGCTACTTGCAGCCATGGGAGATTCGCTGCTTCTGTCGGAAGATGTTTCGTTGTGTTTTTCTTTTGGTGGGGAAGCTGGTGTTTTTGTCGACTACTTTTTGTGTTGTGGTGTTCTTCCCAAGGGGTGCCGACGGCCCAGTCCCCCCTGGTGCTTTGTCTCCTTACATACCCGCCCTTTTCTGGTTTGCATCTGTCCTCTGTCCACCGAAGCGTGAAGTCTTTGTCGCCGAAAGCAGCATACCAAGCCTGGTGACAGGATGGACAATGACGAGGGCATCGAGAATACGGAACGGTGTCATTGCACCTCTGCTGCCTATACACACCAAGGCAATTGAACCATCACGACAACATATGCCGAGTTAGGAGCGGTGACTACCTACGTGTATCTATGTGCCACCGTAGCCCCATTCGACCCCTATAACTCCCTTCATCGAAAGAATTGAATGTCCACACGACCGCCGGAGCCTCTCTCTCCTGCCCCCTTCCCGTGCTGCCTGAGACCCAGCCTCACTTTTTGTGAAGCCGGAACATGCGTCTCCACCAGGATCCCTTCCGCTTCTTCTGTCCCTGCGCGTCCTCCGCCTGCCCCTCCTGCTCCAGTGGTGAGCTTTCCCAGTCTTTCAGCCAGTGCTGCAGGAGTCCCTTGCAGACGCACATCTGGGGCTCACTTGAGACTGCAAACTTCAGGTCCTTGATGTTGCGGTGGACCGGGGGTCCGTAGGGCCGAGGTTCGCCGTCGCGCTCTTCAATCAGGCGCCTCTGGAGTTGGCCACGCACGTAGGCAGAGCTTCCGAAACCGCCCGACCACAGGATGAGGTGGACCTCGCCGCTGGTCCCCGCGGTTCTCTTTATCCACGCATCCTCGATCACAGCGTCCAGTTGGCGCTTGAGGTACACATCTCCATACCCTCCCGTTCCAAGCACCTGGGCGTCAACCAGACGTTGGATGAGATCGCTTTTGAGTCGGGGTGGTTAGAAACGAGAATCGTGGTTAGGATGCGCTGTGTGTGTGTACAGAAATGAGGTTCGGGTGGGTTGAGCTCACCTTCCGATGGTCAGCTGGTTACCTGCTATCGACAACCCAGCAGTGGCTGGATCTGAGCCACTGCCACTCTGGTTGCCTCCCTCAGGTGCCGCAGTCACACGGATCTTGATCTTGACCCCATTGCCTTTGCTGGTCTGTGAGCACACCGCAATTTTCTCGACCTCGAGCTTGAAATTATTGACAATTGACCGAGCCAACGATACAGGGTTGTCGACACGTGCTGTGAGGAACTGAGCAAGACGCTGCTCGAGCTCATTGTTGACATTTATTGCGCCGATGGACTGGCCCCGGACAGGCTCCGCAAAGTCGAGAGCCACTTGAGCGGCGTTCTGATCGGTGACATTGAGAACGCAGAGGTCCTAGTTTCGAAACTGTATGTCAGCAATACCCAACACAAGGAGAAACACTGCCCCACAGCAGCCTAGGTAGCAGCTCGCAGACCAACCGACACATACCGATGTAGCCCCACCGACATCGACAACCACTACTGTCTCGCCGGTCTGAAGATTCGCAAAGGCGCAAGTTTGTCAGCATACCGAAATCTCGGGGCTTCGCTATCCCAAACCTTGAGACTTGCCTTGAATACCCCATCTCGGGACGTAAGGGAGAAAATAGCTGACGCCTCACCCTCAGTGAGGACGACATGGAAAATAGAGTGGCCAGGGACACCTCCGAAGCCAGCCTGTCTCGCCAGCTGCTTGAGCTTCTCGCCGGCGAGCTCTGGGCTACCAGTGGCAGGGACGCTGAAGCAAAACTCCACCGGGATCTCCTCCCAGTCGGGCAGAGGCATGTCGTAATCATTTCTGACAGCGGTTCGGTAAAAATACCGGATGTGGTGATACATGATCTGGGCCATGCGGAGGTAGAGCTCATCTACATTGCGTGTCGGCCCATCGGCATTGATCGGCCTGACCGACCCGCTGGGGAATTCGGGCTTGAATCGACCGTATATAACTCGCTGGGGGTCGCCGGAGCACAGCTCTTGCTGTGCTTCGTATCCGAAACACATTCGGCTGCTGCCTTCGCCATAGGCACTGTATGAGAGGACTGACGGTACCATGCTATCTCCGGCGGTATCCCCGGGGTAGTTTCGCACGTCGATCATCTGCGGCTCATTGTCTGGGTGCAAGATAAGTATGGTGGCTTTAGTCACTGTGGGGATGAGGTCTTTAGTTAGTTTTGGGTCCTCGATTGATGGGTTGAAGAGGGGTCTCTGCGTTTCTGTGACTAGGGTTCTTGGCTTACGCGTGGTTCCGAAATCCACGGCCACGGCGAGCCTGGGCTTCTCGGGTCTCCTGGGTGCCCGCATTGCTGCTTTCGGAGCTGCTGGCGGATAGCTTGGGGGATGTTGTAAATGATCTGGGTGATGCAGGGGGTTGAAGGAAAGGGAGAGCCGAACGGAGGGGAGGGTTGAAAGGAGAAGAGAGGGTTGGACGGAGGAGAGGGTGGAAGGAAGGGACGGTCAAAGATGGGAGAGCTTGGAAGATATGGTGTGGGTGCATACCAGCGCAACCATGAATGTGAGCAAACGCATGTTAATACGTCGATGGGGTTCTTATCCACCTACTGTCGGGGACACCCCTCCCCGCTATCGATCTCGGTCAATATCTACCTATTCGTACCTAGCAAAGCTTAACCAGGCAGGTACCTAGGTACCTGAGCAGACAGATAGATGGGCAGCTGTTGCAGCTGGAGATCCCGCACGTGCATCAGCTCATTTCCAATCATGACCCAGCATCCATGAGGGGGATAGAACGTCGGCCCCTGCCGGAACGACAAGTTTTCAGATATGATATGTCAATAAAAAATAGTTGATACACAGCTTCTAATTACAAGTCCCAAACTTGTCCCGCCCGCTCAGTTCTTGATGTGAACACAGAGGGCAAACCGGGAGTTTATTGAGAGTAGTCTATAAGTCTATCCAAGAAGCAGAGGCCGATGTTTCGAAACATAGGAGATCTTTTCGCTTTGTGCGCCATCGCACTGGGGTGCAGAGTGTCATGGAAGCGCTGCAATGGCGGATGGAAATCGGTGCTGATGATTGGCTGCATAACTCGCATCCGTGCCAGCGGCCAATAATTCCTATGTTGGTGGAGATGGGCGTTGGGTAGGTGCGGTATGACGTCGTATAAACAAAAAGCAAAATTGTAACGAGTGATGGGTGCAAGAGTATCGATGATTAGGGGGATGGAACAGGGAGGAATAGAGAGAGGGAAAGAAGAGGGAGGGGGAACAGTAGGGGGAAGAGGACAGCAAGGAGAGGACAAAGTAGAGGACGAAAGGAAGAAGACAGAAATGAGATAAATCCACACACGATCAGGAGGAGCGATGCAACGCAGTAAGATCAAGCACGAGGAAAATGAAGATAAGGAGAGAGTGCGCGTGTGGGTGCCTGCCGAGGAGGATTGAAGCAGAGATGTGTATGCCCGTTTGCAAATTGGCTTCGCATCCCCAGGAGGTCAAGGTCCCTGTGCGCCTGCCGGCAGGAATGAAGCGACCGAGCATTCCATCCCTGGGGTTCAGCCGTGCCGAGGTTCAGCCGCTCCGTCAAGAGGCGCGCTTCCTGAAGACTTCTCCAAGCTGTCAGAATTCCTATCCAGGATCGCACACCACTCAAAGATATCGGCCTTGAGGTCCTTGTACTCATTGCCATCGATATACACCTTGATCCGCGTCCAGCAGACCGTTCTTTTTCGATCGCTGGCAAGGTCTTGGGTTTTTTGCGTGAGGTCGAGCTTGTTGGCAAGGTCTTTATACAGGCTGAGGACGGTCGCCTGCGCACCCATCAAGTCATTGTGGACATGCGCATTATGACGCTCTCGAGCCTCACGTCGGGCCGCGTCTGCCCTCTCGAGACTGCGTTCCATGTGCTCAACTAAGCCCACCAGTCCCTTGAAGTTGCTTGGGGCGTTCTGAAACGCCTTCAACTGCGTGTACACGACGTAGGTGGTCTTTACCACAGTGACGGCGCCCTTGGCGACGGCCAAAACTGAGGCGCCTTCCACGACGACCATCTTGGGTCCTAGCGGTCGTGTGACTGAGCCGGCGGAATGATTGACGGGAGGGTACTTGTGACGATGGACCCGCTTGGATAGGCAGGTGGGCTTGCCGTCACAGTTGGCGGATGGGCTGAGGGGGGAACGATGCGGCTTCCCGTCTTGGCAGTGAGGTTGGGGGGAGCGTGCTTGGTCGAAGAGGGAGATCCACCAGCGAGATCAGCCAGCTGTGTCTCTGATGATCCCGGCCAACAAGGCCTCTCTGCCTGCTCGCTTTGACCTAGGTGGACAGCGAGCGTCGCGGCCTCCTATCTTGGTGGCAGTGTTGGGTGAGGGGTGGGCTTGGCCGATGGAAGAGCTGAAGATGAGGGTGTTTCTGGCGAGCTCGGTTGACAGCACTCCCGGCTGTTGGGAAAGCGATGCAAGTTCCCGTCTTGGCAGTGATGCTGGGAGGCGGTGAGACTCTGGGTCGGGTGGAAAAGATGAAGGTGGGTGGATGTGTGCCCGGTGATACCCGGCAAAAAAGGACTTCTAGTTGTTTGGTGCGGACTGGTTGAGATGTCGAGCTTCTGGGAAACTCCAAAGCTTGAGGTTCGGCCTGCGTTTTTGTAGGCCGACAGCGCCTCTGTTCCCATGATTGCATGAGCTCTTCTCCCCTGCTCGCTAGCATGGCCGTAGTGCTTCAGGCAGAAGGCTGTGATGCCGTCTATTTGCTTCTTTTCTTTGTCCAAAAAGCCACCTCATCCAGCCGAGCAAATACGAGACGAACCAGCGACGCGCTGGCCACCTCGCAAGGAGCGAAGATGGCCGGTGCTCCCTCCCATGAGAAAGGGGTTGCTTGGCCGTGACTCTGTGCTAGCAACGTGCCAAAGAGAGCTGAAGCGATATGACAGATGACAAGCAAATGGAGAGGAGGCCGCCTGGAACAGGAGAAACAAAAGCAACGATGCGGCATCCAATCCCTTTGCCTAGTCTGTTTGGTGTCTCATTACCTACCTAGTTGGGCGAGAGACTGCCGGGATGTCACCGGAATGTGATGCCGCATGCCGGCCCACCACTCCGGGCAGCTGAAAACAGCACTGCTTACATTCCAATTGGATCTGCGGCAAGATAAAGAAAATAGGCAGACAGGAAGAGGTGCTTGGACCTACCGGCTCTTCGCTCTCTCCCCCGTCACCCGTCCCTTGCCTTCTCTCACCTCCCATCTTTACTCTTCCACTCTCCCGTCTCTCGTTTTACATAGCTACCTACCCACCTACCCACCTACCTAGGCAGACAGCCACGCACAAGACTACTTCCACCATGTCATCCAGATTCACTGGCGAGGTCGTGGCGGGCGTAGCTGTCGGCTCTGCTGCCATTGCGGCCCTCGTCGCCGGCCTTGTCGTTTATTTCATCTGGCGCTCGCGTTCCAAAAAATTGGAAGGTCAATCCAAAAAGTGGAAAGCCGAGCTAGACAAGCTCGTCGCGCACCTAAGGGGCCCGCGGGACATCCCAACCATAATGAGCGGGATGATCTACGAATGCGGTTCTGAGGTCAAGCACATGCGGTTCGAAAAGCTGGCCTCCTTCCTCATGGCTGAGGTCAACCAGTTGGTCGCGAGGTGCACTACCAATCGCGATGGCCCCTTCTTGTTTGATGCCTCGGCCTACACAGCTGCCGCTGGTGACGAAGAAGATTGGGGGGACCTGCTCAATCGCTCGTGGGAGGTTCGCGGAGAGGCGCTAACGGCCATCATCATGCGCGTCCTCATCCGCCGCATGCACCCGGATGGCCCATGCCACCCTGACGAGAGCCTGCTTCCTCCGGACATCGTCCACATCCACCACGCCTCCAAGGCCAAGAAACAAGCGCTGCAGCAGAAGGGCAGAGAATTCCTGACCAAAAAGCTCGGTGACGGCTACACGAGGGAAGAGTTCTTCGATTTCACCAGCGGCTGCCTCTGGCGCTTCATAGTCACCTACCTCACGACAGAGGTCACGCCTCACGAAGGATTCGAGTTCCCCATGCAGACGGCCACCTTCAAGGACGATGACCCCCGCCTGCCCGCCGCCGCCAAACTTGAGGAACTGATCGTCCGCTTGATGACCCCGTTCGACATGCCGGCCGAGGAACTGGCCCAATTCTCAGGCCCCGAATGGAAGTCCATGGGCAATATCGGGTCCGAAGTCGCCCGCAGCACGATCCGTGACATTGCCGTATGCGCCGCCGGCCTGGCCCTCAAGATGTTCTCGGGGCTCTACTTTGCCGAGTTCTACTTCCCGCCAGACATGCCCCCGACCCAACCGAACGGCGACCGCCGCATCTTGCTGCTCCCACCCATCAGGGCTCGCGTCTGTATCCCCGGCGCCAAGAAGCCACCGCCCTATTGGAACTTCCCCGAGCCTGACGGGAGCAGGTGGGTGGAGATCTCGCCACCCGCTCTGTCATACTATAGCCTGCAGGGGACGTGGTACGAATCGACATCAGTCGGCGAACGCAACTACATACCACTGAAGAGAGCAGAACACACGGAACTGAAGGAGGCTCAAGACGAGGCCGGGGCTCAGGAGGGCAGCAGCAAGCTCCAGACACAGGACAGCCCAGTGCCTACGTAGATAGGTAGGTATGTCGCAGGTAGCTGGCCTTGGGAGATCAATGGGACGGAGAGTGGATGGCGGGAAGTTTTGGGCCTTTTGTTTTCATTTCACCGAGACTTTGGATTTTAGGACGAGGAATCTTTTTTGTAATTGTCTACTGTGTTAGCTACGGCTCAAGTGCCTGGTGCCCAACTGCCCGCGGGTATCTAGAGGTAGAAGAAGAAGCACGCATGACAGACACCTTGGAAAATGTACCAGCTCCCCGGGCAAGAATTTTTGTTGGAACTATGCGTGCGTGCCACGAATCACATCATCTGCGATGAGTCTCAACTTCTCTGGGAGATGGCGCCAAAAGGCTTGGCTTGTGTTCGTTGTGGATGTGCGGGTGGCTTCGCTTCCCATTTTTGGTGCAAAAGCCTGGGAAATGAAGCCATCCCATTACCCCTGCAAGGATGCAACAGGGGTCGGCGCTGGAGGTGCTGTCCCACCCGGGTGTCAGGTGGGCCTGGTGCCCGCTCACACGCTGAAATCCTCGCGCTAAGGCTAGAGCTAAGGCCTGGTGTTGCTCTGCGCAGTTTACTAGGGCGCCGCCCAATCCAAACTCGCCGATACCACCGACCGCCTGAACCCGCAGCCAACCGCGCGCGCCCACCGCTTCCACCACGGGCTGTAACCATCGGCCTCGTGCGGCGGCAGCTCGCGGTGCAGGTAGCGGAGCGACCAGCAGCGAGCCCTCCCGCGCCGCCGCCCATACGCGACCGCTGCCCGCCGCAGCTCCCTGACCACTGCGCGGGCCTCGGGGCCCGACGCCGGCGCGCCGCACTCGGCCAGCGAGGCTGCCACGAACCGCAGCGGGCGCGTGAACTCGACCGCCCCGGCCCCAACGAGCACGACGCCACCGCCGCTGTCGCCACCACCACGGCCACCACGAGTGGATCCCGACGAGATGGGCAGCACGTCGCCCTGCGCAGGGCGCGTGTGAAACGCCACCCCCGCCGTGGCCAGCACGGCCTGCCAGTCGCGGTAGAGCTCGGGCACGCCGGCGCCGGCGGGGCCCGCCGGCGGGCCGCGCGCGGCGCGGAGCCAGGCGGCCTCGTCCCACTCCTCGCAGTAGGCGCCGCCGGGGAGGGGGAGGCGCAGGGCCGCGAGGGCGTCGTCGACGCGGTCGAGCGCGGCCAGGCGGGCCGAGACGATGTCGAGGATGGCGTTGCCCCAGCGCACGCTGGGCCGGCCGCTCGAGAGGTACGACTGGAGCATGGCGCGGAAGTCGGCCGACTCGGGCAGGTGGTCGTCGCCCGGCAGCGTCTCGGCCGCCAGGGCCAACACGCCCGCGATGCCGCCGCGGTGCCGCCGCGCCGGCATGTACCGCCCCAAGAGCCGCGTGCGGGCCAGCCTGTCGAGCCGCGACGGGCGGGCCCCGGGAGCGACCCCGGGGAGGGATGTGGTCGCGTCCATGGCCGGCACAGGGGCGGATGGCGGGGTCGGAGAACCGTTGGATCCTTGGTGCGAGGTGAAGCTGGGCCGGCGCGCGTCCGGTGCCGAAGCTACGGGAAGAGGGTGCAGATCAAGAAGAGCTTGCGATAGCCACATATCCGGCTCAGGCGTGTCCAAAAGGCCGCAGACTGGAGATGCTGCCATAGTAGCGAGAGCGGGCAACCTTGGAGATGAATGCCAGCGACCAGCACGAACATGGTGTCGGGCCCAGCCTAGCTTGGACGAAGCACGAAGGGCATGGATAATGCATTCTAACTATAACGACGCCTCAGTGGAGGACGCCTCGAGTTTACCGATATTTTCTCCTACGCGAGAAGGCGATAGCAGCCGCACAACAGTGCAAGTGGCGCCTAGCTAACTTTGTGGTTGTCGTTGGAGGCGAGAGCCTATATTGAATTTTGACAAGTTTGCGGCGTAGACCTCTTGTATGTTTTGAGCCACGGGCTTGTCGGGCTGTCGGCGTAACTATTCCCATCCAGAGCAGGATAAATGCCTCCTTCCCAGTCTAGTTAGAGTCCGTGTGGCCAACAGAAGCTCCGCGCGTCTCATCGATATGCGGATATGTAATCTCTATCCAACCTTTATACAACTGCATGGCTATTCAGGAGATGGCAGCCGGCAAGCAGCAGCCCCTGTGTATATGTATCCAAGTGCTCGCGTTGTATTGTGGGCTTCTAGACCGTAGTTGACATGTCTCTATATAAATGTTCAGACCATGGCAGCAAGCAGTGGATTCCAACGTGCCTTGGGGGACCTAGCTAGGTTAGGTCGAGCCAAGCTCCATGCTATCCCAGCATCGGTCAAGCCAGTGGTCATCGAGATGTGTGGAGACCTGAAGGGATCTCCTCCACGTTCTCACCAACCCGTTTCGCACCGTTGGTCAAGGCGTCATAAACCCACCTGCCCTTGGTCCCTGACTGCCCGGGCAGTTTACTTTCGGCCGGCGCTGTCGAGAAACGATGCGGAATCCCTTCTCGGCAGGACCCATCGGACAAAAAGACAGCGCGACAACGCATGCAGCCAGAGCACAGCCAGCAGGCCGGGAATCTTGGCTTCAAAGTCTTGCATGTGATTGCGCCCTCGTTTCTTCTTGGCCCGTGGGGCTCCTGTGGGTCAGAGCCGAGGTGGCCGCTTCCCGTTGTCGTCTAAGCGTGCTGTTCTAGTGCAGGGCAGCTGCGCCGCTGGCGCGCTCCTACCCCAGCAGGCCGCGCCCAGCCCACAGCCCAGGCAGCTGGGTGCCATACTGTGCCTGGTAGGGACAAGTCAGCCTCACGTGCGACAAGAAACAAACCCGGCAGAGAGCTCAGTCATGACCAACTCCCCCAGCCGCCCAAGATCCCAAATGCTTGTTTGTAGAGATGCGATTGCCAGGCACGGATTTTTTTGTCCGAGTCCTGGTTCGACGCTCGCCCGGCCGACCAACAAAACCCCTGCACATGGGCCTGTGCTCCATTGGACCCCCATACTACATGTACTAACCACCGCCCGCCCCGACCAGACACCAGACGCCAGACAGCTGGAGCGCTGCACTGTCCAGTCGCGACCGCCCCTCTCTCCCAGCCCAGCACCGCAGCCCAGTGAGCCCCAGTCCTTCATCCCCAGACGCGGTGGCGGGTGAGCCATGCACCGGCAGAATCGACGGCGCACCGCAGCAAACCGATGACGTGGTGGATCGCCGGAGCGCCTTGGACCCCCCAAAGCTTCTTAATGGCAGCCATCGTGAGTCCACCACCTTTTCCATCATTTGCACGCTTTCCGTATCCTGCCGCGCACAGCTCCTCTCTGTTTGCACTGCCTGAACTGCCAGCACTTTGTTGGGTGATTTGGCAATTCCCGCACCGAGACTAGCAAGGTTGCCTGGTCCGCGCGTTTGCTGCGCTGCTGCTGCTTGCTGTGCTTGGTCTGGTCGCATGACCTGTCGTCGTGATCCTCATCTTCGGTCCTGCTGCCCTCGGGGACCCCTGGGTGCCTCGCTACTTGATCGCACCTGTCGCGCCGTGCAAATGCGCTCCCTGCACGCACCAGCGGAATCCTCTCGAGTGTTGCCAAACTGACAAGTCGTTGATCCGCGCCGCGCGCGCGCCGAAAACAAATTCATCAAAATAGGACACTCCCTGGATGGTCCAGATGGCAACACCCAGGTCCCAGCGGCGAGATACGCAGGACGCCGCCTCCTCGGCCGCCCAGTTCCTCGCCCCGACGGCGACACCCTCGCGACATCCTACCTCCTCCGACGGGTTTACAGCCGCCTTCTCCGCGCCCGGCCCGAACCCGACCTACGCTGCCTTCTCTCCAGCCACCCTGTCCGGCAGCACCACTTCGGCCGCCAAGCGCCGCAGCACCATCCTCGTCCACCAAAAATCCCCTCTGCTGCTGGCCACTCCGCCCCAGATCACACGCGCCCTCGCCTACAGCCATCCTTTCCTGTTGCCTCTGAACAAGCTCGTCGGCCTCTTGACATGGACAACGGAGGACCAGTGGGAGAGCTTCCTGCTCGTCGTCGCCTTTTGGACCACTGTGCTGTACGGCGACGTCCTGGTCCGCGTGGTGGGACCTCTGCTACTGGTTGGGGGTCTGATTGCCGGCATGTACGGTCGCCGCTTCAGTCCACTCAGCAGTAGCAGCTGGACCGAGCCCGCATCGAAAGACGGGGCCGTCGGGAATGCAGACCAGGTTGTCAAGGCCAAGAGGGCTGCCAAACCCGCTGCGACAAGCAACGGCAGCGCGACAAGGTCTGGAGGAGCCGGAGGTGGAGCTACCAAGGTTGATGGCACGTCCACCCCTGGCGGTACTGTCGCGGGAGGCGGCGGCGGGGCTGGCCAGGGGCACCAGCGGGCGGGCTCGACGGCCGAGGCAACGAGCACCCGCCACCGCAAGACTCTGGATGAGATGGTGGAGACGCTTCGCGAGTTCACTTCCCGCTGCAACATTCTGCTCGAGCCCCTGCTGGAGCTGACCGACTTCTTGAGCACTCAACGGACCCCGACGTCAGCAACGACCCGCCCAGCCCTTACGGCCCTGCTCATCAGGATCCTCCTCTGTACCCCTTTTTGGTTTGCTTTGACGCTGCCCCCATGGCGTCTCATCACGGCCCGCCGCGTGGTCCTGGTCGCCGGCACCGTCGCCCTCACTTGGCACGCCAGGGTCTGCTGTGTCGGTCGCACGCTGCTCTGGCGCTCGCGGTCCGTTCGCAGGCTGGCCGCCCTCGTGACAGGGCTCGAGTTCGAGGGCCTCGAGAGGCCGCCTCCTAGCGGAGATGGCGGCCGCGACCTGTTTGCTGCCTCGGCCATGGATCCGGCCGCCACGCAGGGTCATATCCACCGCCGACGCGAATCAGAGCTTACAAAAGCCATACGGCGGGCGGCTCGGGGCGGGGGCGGCAACGAGACGGGGGTGCGGTTCACATTCATAATCTACGAGAACCAACGGCGCTGGGTTGGGCTAGGCTGGACCTCGAGCCTGTTCACGTACGAGCGGGCGGCATGGACAGACGAGCGCAACAACCCGGTGCCGCCACGAGACCAATTTGAGCTGCCCGAGGTTGAAGATGGCAGCCGCATGCGCTGGCGCTGGGTCCAAAGCAGCCGCTGGAAGGTCGACGGAGTTCCCGACGACGCCGTCCGGGCAGCTTCCAAGCAGGGTGGAGGAGGGGACGGCGAGTGGAACTACGATGGCGAGGGTGGCAAGATGGGATGGGTGTACTACGATAACAAGGTATGGTGATAACGACGCTTCACTCCCACATGCTGCGGAATGAAGACCACTCAACTAATGCTTTCACTAGTGGCAAAACGGCCGTCGTGGCCAGGACAGCTGGGGTCGTTGGACAAGACGCAGGAAATGGTACCGCGATGCCGAGCTAGTAGAGGTGGATGATGTAGACATCCCGCCATCCGAACTCCCAGGTGACTCTGCCGCCCCCTCTCAGCAATCTCCTGCTGTGGAAGGGGCGAAGGGGGCAGCGGAAGCGGCGGGCAAGGCGAGCGGCAAGCATGGTGGCGGCGGCGGGGAGGACGCGTCCTCGGTGCTGTCGTCTTCATCGTCACGCTCGGCAGCACCACAAGCAGTCACTACTACCGGCGGAGGATGGGCGTCTGGATTCAGGGCCCCGTCACTCCGGCGGCGGGCCACGGACACTTCGACCACGCGGCGGGGTAGGCGCACCAGCAGCGCGGCGGCCAGCAGCCTCGAGGAAGAGCGAGAGGACGCGGCCGCGTCGCTGGGGACCAGCCTCGGCTTGGAGATACAGGGCGCCTCCATGGAGCGGGACCAATGGGGGGTCGGAGACGAACTCAGGATGGGCCTGGAGTGATGAGGTTGGAATCAATATTTTATCTTTTGTTCTTGTTCTTCGATTTTTTTTTGTTCGGGCCACCGGCCGTTTAGACGTTGGGTTTCAAGAGTCTATTGGCTCACTGTGTTTGGATAGAGATACGGACGACTGTCACGATCATGTGCTGGCTTTGGCTACCTAGCGTGGGTTTTCATGGAACAGGGCAGGAAGGCATTGAGGACGGGTGGGCTTGGGATCATAGCTAGGATGGGAAGGGCGTTCAGGGAGGCCAGACATAGTGCCATTACGGTTCAGGGTGTTACGCTTGATTTCGCGCCTCTAATTTTGGGCAGTTAATACGATACAGAGCCGCGTTGACCTTGTCCCGTTTCCTTCTTAGACCACGACCGTGGTCAATCTCCACTCCCGCACCGTCCTCTCCGAGATTCACAACCACGCGGCCACGCCAAGGACCAGGGCCAGCGAGGCGCCCATGCTGGCCAAGCCGAGGCGCGGGGCGGACGGACCGGCGGCGGCGTTCTTTGCGGTACCGGTGGCGGCGGCTGGCGAGGAGGAGGACGTCTTGCCGCTCCCGCCGCCGCCCTGCTGCGCGCCCGTGGCGGCGGCCGGGGTGCCACCGTTGCCGGCGCCGAGGGTGGAGCAGGCGTCCAGGCCGGCCTTGTAGCTGGAGAAGAACTGGTCCGAGGCGCAGTTGGCCGTGTAGCAGCCGTACAGGGCGCTGCCCTGGCTGCAGGCGCAGCTCACGGCGCCCATTGGGTCCTTCTCGTCGGTGCACATGGCCGCCGTCAGGGGCTTAATGCAGTCGAGGAAGGGGCTATGTGTGTGCGTGTGTTGTCAGCCTTTTTTCTTCTTTTTCTTTTCTAACTCAACGTCTCCCCCCGACGAGGCCAGCGGGGATTTCCCTCCACTGGATGACCCTGCTTACCCCTCGGTGTAGCACTGCATCGGCGTCACGGCGGGCGCCCTCGGCTCGACGGCGGCGGGCGCCTGGACGAGGACCGGGTCGGCGAGGGCCGAGGCGGCGAACGCGAACGCGGCGGCGGCGACGTTGCTGAGCTGGGCCTTCATATTGGGGGTGTTGGAGGAGACCGGTTCTGTGTTCTGTGGTCTGCCTTGGTTGGTAGTGTGCTTGGGCGACACGATAGGGAGAGGAGGGAGGGAAAGAGAGAGAGAGAGGCTTGAGCTGCCGTGGTAATGAGAGCAAGGCGGACGAGGAGAGGTAGAAGGACAAGCGAGCGACAAAGAACGACTGAAAACGGCCACTTGGTCGACCCAGGCCGGCCGTCCCTTTGTTATATGTATAACCCCCCGTCCACAGGCCCGCCGCGCCGCCTGGCACTAGATTCCCAGGCTGACAAGCCAATTCCACGACATCCCCGGTCCTTTGCTGCAGAAAGATGCAATTTGCCGTTGGGGGTGGTTGACGCCTCCCAGCCTCATGTCAGGGAGGGGCCCCTGAGCTTGACCTAGAGTGGCAGCGGAAACGATGGCGGGCGCTGCTTGTGGCTTGCCGCCCAAATTGGCTTTAGCCGCACCGGGCTAGAACAAAACGTCCCCCCGGCCGGCGCGGGAACGTGCAGGCTGGCAGGTGATCTCTAAAGCTTGTCTGGCGGGATATGGGGGAACGCCAAGTCTCGCTTGGGCGTTTCTCGCTTCATGAATGGGGCATTGGAGGGGATGAGAACGAAGGGAGAGAGGAGACTGACACCACAAAAATGGCAGTCACACCTACCTGGTACCTAAACAACAGACGCGACTAAGACCGGAAGAGTTGTAACAGGAATAAAAGCATGGATAGGAAGAAAAAGAAGAACAAGGATAAGAAGCCCATCGCATTGATCATCGCAATCCTTGGGACCTGTAAAACTACCATCGTGTTTGTGATGGGTGTGCCGAGGGGAAGAAAAAAAACCGTTGACGCTGAAATTTGCCTGGTCGTTTCGCAAGGCGCTTGCGAAGCAGACCGTTTGCCAGGCTTTTCCAAGTGCGAGGCCAAGCGCGAGGGGGACTCATCTATGGGTCCTTAGCACCATACCGACATCCTCCCGCCCTCTCAAGCACTCAAGGTAGGTATTACCTACTTCGCGGATCAGCAAATCCGACGGCGCCGGTCACCGACAAATGTTTCCGCATCCTGCAGCAAATCCCTAGCATAGTCCGGGGATATCTCGCCCAGGACGGACGCTTTGCTTTGGAATGATATTCGCTCCCTTCGGGCTACAACGGGAGCACCGTCACGTGCCCGTGGTGGAGAGCCTGGGTGGCCATGGCCTGAGGAGACAGGCCTGCGAACACCTGCACGATTGGCTGTCACCGTAATGGTCTTGGCAAACCCGAGGCTAGGTAGCCCTACTCCTCTGCCCCTCCTTCTCCTGCTCACCAGGCCGCCTAGACCAAGGCGAGGGGGTGTTGGCTGCGCCAGCAAGACGCCGTGCGTGGGAGAAGGTCGAAACGCGGCTCGCTGACAGAACAGCAAGCCGGGGGGGCCGTTGGGCGAGGCGCTACTGGCACTCTGGGAGCCCCTCATTTCGACCCAAAGAGTCAAAATCCCGCGGAAGCGGCTCATGCTCCGGCGCGCACTCGGGTGCCTTGCATCGGCCGCCCTCCCACACGCGCCGGCCTGGAGAACGACGGCGCTCCCCGATGGGGCCAAGCCCTTTTGCCGACGTTGCTGCCCTCGTGTCCACAGCCGCTGTTCCAGCATGCGCGCCTCGTCATGACGCATCACACACCACATGGCGCCCCCCCACTAGTGCATGGGAGGGGGAACGAGGAGAGAACAAAGGCAGAAGAAGGAGATTTACGTGCCCGGGCTTGCTGCATGCATTGGGTCACAATAATCCTAATTGATGGTATCCCCCCTCTGGGCCTCTGGACGAGGCGAGGATCCCCGGGGCAGGTGTCGGGTGATGGGGATTATTCGTCTAAGACGCGCGCGCCCAAGACGCTGCACGCTGGCACTTTGGGCCCTCGCCCGCCTTTGGCAGGTTGCTGGCCTGCCACGAATCCATCGATGCTGGTTGGGCCGACATGACGCCTCACTCCCCCCACACCTAGCCACGCGAGCTGTGGCAGAGCCTGATTGGACTGTCCCATCACCGCTTGGAGAAGAAAAAAAAAAAAGCAGACATCCGTTACGACAGTCAAGTGTACAAAACCAGGCACCGTTCCATCTCCAGTTCGTCTCGAGCAGCCATGTCAGAGCATTCCAAGCCCCACAGCGTCTCCATATTACCCAGGACCCCACCGACACCGTCCCAGGAAGAAGACCGTCACCCACCGCCTGGCCGGATCCAAGCAAGACCCGAGAACCACACCATGGGCAACGTAAGTTTGGACCCCTCCTTCCATGTCTTTTTTGCCGTGCCGCGCGTGCTTGAAAGGGGGAACCCCGGTTTGACACGGGACAGCAGCAGTGCTTGCCCTTCTCACGCTCACGCAACGCGCAGACGCAAAGCTCCAACCTGGGCCGCACCGTCGCCGCCCGGACACAGGTCGTCGAGACGAGCCAGCTCAGGCCGCGGACCAGCAGCCTCCCCTCGCACGTGCGGGCCATGGCCAAGGCCCCGCTCGGTGGCGAGCTCGAGCCCATGCTCGACCGCGACCCGACCAAGGGCGTCGTCGTCGCCGCCACCGCCGCCGCCGCCGTCGTCGAGCCCGCCGGCTCCTCCGTCTTCACGGCGGACGAGACAGGGCTCTACGACCCCGAGGTCAACGGCATCCTGGTCATCGCCGGCGACGTCGGAAGGTTCGAGGAGGGCGCCGACGAGGCATCCGACGCTCAGCCTGCCGCGCCCGACGTGGACGCGGACGCCGCCGCCGCCGCCGCCGCCGCAGCAGCAACAGAAAACCAGCAGCAGGAGGAGCAGCCGGAACAGCAGGCGCAACAGAAGGGCGTAAAGGGCGACGACAGGATCAGCGAGTCGCACACGGTCCTGCACGAGCCCGCGACCGGGAGCCCCGGCGTGCACATCAAGCTCGAGTACGACAGCATCACAATCGCCGGCGAGAACAACGTCGTCCTGGGCTTCAGCAGCGACTTCCTGGCCCAGGCCCAGAAGCACCCGACCGGCGTCACGTTCGAGGTCAAGTGCGGGCCCATCAACGTTGCGGCGTCGTCGAGGAACATCAAGGTCGGCCACTGTATAAACTGAGAACAAGAAGCACTAGATTTGAGCTGGTATTTCCTTTGGGGAGCGAGAACATGCTTGGTGCCAATATCACCACCTGTAAATATACAAAACCACATACACGGCAGCAATTTCTTTTGTATCTTGGGAGCACACAAGGAGTTGGTCAATTCAACATATTGGAATAAATGTCGGGTTGTAGCTTTTGCTTTGTAGCTACACATGTAGCGTTTTATATTTTGCCTTTTTCAAAGTAAGTCTTTGTGGCTGTTTTTATGAGACAAGGGCGGCACTCGGAATGTCGAGGCGTACTGGCTTTTTGGCACATCCGCGGGGCATTTGCCCGGGTGCCCGACAATTTTGCTGGCCGACGAAAATGGCCTTGCCGAGTTCGGGAGTTTGTCACAATGGAGGCTATCACCAAGGGCCGGCACACTATTCCAGGTCTTGGCACGGAGGACCTGCACGGGCACCCGGCACGGATGCTCCGCACCGGTGCTGCGCCGGACAGATGCTTACCGAGCACCCGTCGGTAACAACAGGGGGGCGGTAGTGTGTACCGCACCTACAAGAGAGGGCTATCATTGTAGATGAAAGGGCACGAAGCCCACGGCCGCGTGCACTTTTCTTCCTTTCTCAGAAATCTAGAAAAGCTTATAATAGAACCTATCTTGCACCGGTTGTCCGTCATAGCTGCTGCTGCTTCTAAACTGCAGGCGCGTCCGGGCCTCCGTCCCTCACCCAACCCGAGGCGTGTAAGCGTGGGGGTGGGGGTGGCGATGCCAGACATACTGGCTGTGGCACAGGTGATCGAGCCAGCAGGGAGCCTTGCCACTTTCGCCAGCCAGACTGTTCCCCTTTTGGTTCGGTGCTAGGAGGGGTTGTGTGGCACTGCATGCATGCTTGGTCGGGCAGCTTCACGCCGGGCGGTGGCTTGGGGCACAGCTGCAAGCTCGCAAGCAGCCCAAGGCAATCACTGCGTTTCTTGGTGGGGGAGGTGGTACATGGCGGCGTGCTTGGCATGCCACCCCGATTACATTGAAAGTCCCGAGCGCCCGCCCGAGTTACTATGCCTCGTTATCCGAGGTGTATCGAACTTGGCAGATCTTCCTACCAGCCGTCGTTGCCTGTAATATATGGGCCTTACCTTTGCCCACATGTGCATGGGCTGGGGGCTGTGAACTTGTTGCCCCGATTCGCATCGACTTTTTGCCTTGGGCTTCCACCTCTAGCGCCCAGCGGACCTTGGAACTTACCAGGCCTTCGTTTGTCTGGTGGGCAGATCCTTACTACCTGCATGCCTGCCTATGTTGTGCAACCAACGCGTCTGCATGGTGGCGGTGGCGCGCTGGCCATCCCCTCTGGATTCGTCAGGCCAGGTCTTGGCCAGTCTCCCCACCCGGATACCTAGCTTCCCCGTGTTGCCTTCGAATTTCTGCTTTGATTTTCTTTCCACAATCCATGAAACTGCTGCTCTGGGGCTGTGTTGTTGAGCCGAAGGCTTACGCGTGAATACATGAACCTCCTCCTACCTCCCCAAAATCTACCTACCCAGCTGCCAAAGAAAGGCACTGTTCGTCGGGCACCCAAGGCTCTAGCTGGATCTTCCCCTTTCTAGCCACGCATCACTCAATTTTGCCTTTGTTCACGTATCTTCCGTCGACTCCTGGCCGGCGTAGCCAGGCTGCTGACACCCACACACGCAGTCGGACAAACGAACAGCCCGAGCTCTCTATGCGCAGAATTCCGGACTGATGGACGACGATACACGCGGGCGCAATTTGGCGCCATTCGCCGCCAAGGACAGGGCTGAAATGCAAAACCTGTGGAAGTTCAAAGTCAACCGAACTGAAGCCGAGCAGTGGGTTCTGCGTGACATGAAGTTCCTGTGAGTAGTGTCGCGGCAATGCCGCTCTGTCCTTGGGGGGTTTGAAGCAGAGGAGCTGCCAGGTTCCATTCCATTTAAAAACGAGATAAGTCCCTGTTTTGGGGCCTGCTGGTAGGAAACACGGCTGATTGTAGGGCTTTTCTAGAATATACGACGACTCGGACGAAAAGACCGACGTATACGGCACCGGGGAGTACGTTGATGGCCAAGAGGACCGAAGGGCAGTAGATAGTGTTGCACTGTCGCTCAAGGCTGAGGAGGTATCACCTGGCGCTGCCCCTACACCGGCCCCTCCCTCGAGCGACGCCGGCCCATCAGTGACCTTCGATTGCTTCCCTTGCGAGTGTGGTAGGGTTGGTTGCGAGAAGACACGCGGCGCAGGGCATTTCAAGGACTGGAGAGATTCGCCGACGGTAGATGTCAGCTCCTGGTCGTCGGACAAGTGTGGTGACTGTGAACTCTCGGAACGCGAATGCTACGAACGGAAGCGAAACGCTGGAGAAAAATCGCATACGTGCAAAATCTGCACCAGGGTTCCCGAGTTCCCCAGCGACAGGAAGACCCGCACATTCCGCCTCTTCAGCCCGAGCGTTGAGTGCCCGGAGATTGTGGAAACCCCCGACTGCGACAACATCTGCGGGCACTTTGTGGCCATCTCGCACTGCTGGCCGCTGCCGGCGCTGGATGGGTGCGGGGAAGATCAAAAGCCCAAGACTTGTCGCGTGCGCGAAAAGGACGGGACGACACGCACTGCCCGCGCTCTGGACGATGTCCTCGACCGCGCCGTCGATTTCGCCAATATGGTCGGTTTCCGCATGATCTGGATCGACCACGAGTGCCTGCCACAACCAACTGAGGAGAGTCCGCAAGAGGATAAGGAGTACCAGCGAATCGGTGTTCAGGCCATGGATATGGTTTATCAAAGAGCACTGGTAACGGCCAGCCTTCACGAAGGACTCGTGGTTAGTCAGCAGCAGGTCGACGCCATCGATACGCTCCTAGATCCGAGCAATTCCAGCCTTATATTCGAGATTTACAACCCTCCCAGCCCCGGTCAACCAAATGAGTTCCGGCTGGCAGTAACACATGCTATCGAATTCTTACAAGCAGTCGTAAATGACCGCTGTAAGTGGTACCTTTCTGTTCTCTTGCTTTACTCGTCTTAGTATTGCTCTCTTTTCTATCAGCGCACTGTCTTTGCCTGTCGACGCTGCTTTCCTTGCACAAGCCAGTTCTTCCAATCTTTCTACTCCCGCTCGGCATAAAGCTAACCCAGATCTTGTAGCTTATACCCGTGCGTGGGTGGCCCAGGAAGCAGTCAGTGCAGGGATTCAACGTTTCCTCGTATTCCGTAGGGCACCTGCCGTCGTAGGCAGGACGCGGCTCCGTGGGGCCAATAGCATCAGCCACAAAGGCCGGCCACGGCACAGCCTGGACGATCAGGAGCCTAAACTGCCATTTGAGGTTATCGGCATCGCTCAGAACGAGTTCTACCTGCTTCTTAGGAAGTTAAAGCTGTGTTATCGCTCCTTTGGAAGACCTTCGACCTGGGACTTGAGACTGCTGCATCACAACGCTCTTTCGACCATACGAGCCGCCGAAGCCCTCCAACCCAACTTGACTCTCAAGGACAGTGGGTGGTTGGAGCCCCGGATAAGCTTGCCCACTTTGTACGGGGACGACAGAAAAGCCTTGAGCGCTGCTACAGCGCTCACCCTACTTAGCACCCGCGAGTGCCGCGATACCCAAGATCGCATCCCCATTTTGGCCAACATGTGCCGCTACGAGCTCCGCATCGAGACGGCCGACGCGGTGGCAAATTGCAGGTCGCTTCGCGTTGCTATACTGTCTCTCGCTCTGCTCAACTCGGACTTGTCCCTATTGGTGCCCGAGATGTATTGGTGCCGAGAAACAACCGTCAGCGACGATGGAAATACATTGCCAGGCTGCATATGCGACGTGCGGTACGACGGTGGGCTGTTCTCTCCGTTCGACAGGCACCCGGGAAATATAAGCGACCCTGACCCGCAGAGTTTCGATCGCTTCAAGCCGACCACCAACAGAGAACTGTACGGGGCAGGTCCGGTCGAGGGCGGCCTGCGAATGGCCGCATACCTATGGACGGCTGAAAAGGAGCTGGACCTAGGCTTCCTTCGTGACCAGCACTGCGACACCTGGAACAGTCTCAAAACCATCATAGTTGATTGCGAAGGGAGTTCTGATGCCCGTATTCGCCAGATGGGAAAGCGGCTTGAGCCCGGCATCGACGTGAAATTTGAGAGAGGGATTCGGGCGGAGGTCATGCGCTCCGAAGATGGCATCCTCCCAAAATCTTCGGCTCTGTGGGGCGACCTGCCACCTGGTGATGAAAAATTCCGACTGGGTTTCGACACGGACAGGATTGAAGAGAACCCCCCAATGCAGCAGACACTCGCCGAGGTGGTATTCGACATCCTGGGCAAAATAAGCCGTTTTCCACACCCGCTCGCGGCTGGATTGGCCGACAGCATCTGGCAATCGCTACGGGTCGGTGTCGTGCCCGGAGGGCAACCAGATCTCCCCGATGTTGTCTGCGACGAGCTTTTTGCCCATCCGGATGTTGTGGCCCAACCATTTGAAACGCTGAAGCTCGACAAGGACATGACTAACCTTGGCGGTGGCTATCACCAGACCTGGTTCGTTGAGCGCATCATGCAGCGGGGCAAACTTTGGGTATGGCGGTACAACCGCCCTGCCATCAGCGAGGCAGCACAGCAGGAGACGCCTGCGGATACCGACATCTGGGCACAGGATGCCACACGCGGCCTTGGTGGTAGACCCACGGTATTGGCAGGAAAAGGGAAAGAGCCCGAGATACCTAACGAAGCCGCTGGGCCACGTGGGTTGGCTATCTCATTTTTGAGGTCCGATACGCGGCTGTTCCAGTTTATCGACAGTATGAGGTTCATAAGGACTGGCACCTGGACTCGCGACTTCCGAACGACGGAATATAGAGACATCGAGGCGCCCAAGAGAGCTGGCGTCGAAGCTGATATTCTGCGAAGGCAGGCTATGGAGCGGCGACTGCGGGACTTGTACATGGGCTTCGCCTACAGGTACATGGACGACATCCCGGGGCTCCCCAAGCTGGGCACAGGTAACCTGATCGCATTCGCCCTTAAGATGGAAAAGTTGCGGGACTTTGGTAGAGGGGGCCTTATCGCTGAACAAGACCTAGGCCCAAGGCCACTCGCGGCCACGTTTGACGTCGACGGGTCCTGCGTGGTGGCGACCCCATACAACCCCGCCTGGGAGGTGATCCCGGCGCCCGCCATGCGGAGCATGAGCACCTGCTGGGTCGTCGAGGAGGTGCCCGACGACGCGGGCGGCGGAGGCGACGAAGAGCATGACGCCGTGGCTACGGAGAGCACCGCGGCGGGCCAAGGAGAAGAAGACGCGCCCGGCCCTGGCGGCGGCGGCTTGGAAGAGGCTGAGGAGGGGACCAAACAGGAGGCAGACCAGAACGAAGCTAGAAACTGGATGCCTTCGCTTTTGGCTTGGTGGCGCAATTGGTTCGTGACAGAAACTGCGAGGGGGAAGCAGAGACGACAAGGTTTGGGGAACGATCAGGCCAGCAAATACCCGCAAAGGGGGAACAAACGCACTCTCGACAACCCCTTCGGCTACGCGTCGCGCCGTTTCAAGGTTGTTCGGAAGGTTAAAGGCATGAGGAAGATCATGGATCTACCTGACCAGACGCACATATTTGAGTAAGGTATGTACCCGACTCGTAAAGGAGAGGATATCCAGCAGCTCGGTTGCATTTTCAAAAATCATTAACGTTGTCCCTCGCCTTATTATCTCCTCCGAGCAAGACTCAAGATCCCAAACTACAACCCCCCGCTCGTCCGTCTCCTTCCAGATCGCCATGGAGATGGGCGGCACCTGGTCCGGCTGCGCAGTCCTCGAATCCGCGACTTTGGCGATGTACAGGTCGGCTAAGGGTGCGACCCTTGCGACCAAGGCCGGGACGTGGGTGCAATGCCTAAAGGTGTTCAAGGGTTGAGTAGAATTGTTAGTGTCGCGCGCTTTCCTGTTCTTATTCTTTTCCTGTTCTTGTTCCTGTTGTCATTCCTATTGTTATTGCTTTATATACATATATTATCTGATTCTTTCGCGCATTACCCGTCTTATTCGTAGGGGCAGGGCCTCGCCTTGGAAAACCAGCTCGAGCGGTCGCTCGACGGCGAGGGGACGGGCGGTTGGTAACAGACCAATCGTCTAGATGCCTTGTCTCTCCCGCCTACGTCGACAAGCTGTTTATCCTGTTTATACTCAATGGGATTGCTGTGGAGCGTGACGAAAGGACCGTAAATCACAAGTACATTGGCTGAACAAATCCATAGTTTGGCAAGCATGAATAGTCCATGCCTCCATCAAAACGCTCAAAGACGGACCAAGCTTTGCTGTAAAGCTAGGATAATACTAGATAGTGGTCGGCACACTCCGCTTGGTCAAAAAGTCGGGAGGAAAGTCCTTGCGCATGCCGTTGCATACGTCACTCGGCGAGTCCAAGTCCATATCAAGCAGCACCTGCTCCAGGGCAAGCAGGCTGTCGAGATAGCGCGCCGTGGCTTGGCGGTGCGCCAGCTGGAGTCTCTCGGCCGACGGCCCGGCCGTGCCCGTCCCGCCTTCCGCCGCCACCGCCACCGTCACCGCCACCTCCGACAACAGTCTCTCGCAGGTCACAGCAAGCCCCAGCGCCGCCGCGGCGTCTCCGCGCTCGCGGTGGCGGGCTAGCAGCGCGCGCAGCGCGCCCGCGAACCTGCGCTGGCGGTCCCACGGCACGTGCGGGTGGCTGC